TCCTGGCCTCAGTCTCCATGATGACTTCAGTTTTTCCTCATTGCACAGGCATCTCATTCGTGCTCTCACTACTCTGTAAGCAGTCCTCTGCTACAGTGCTTACTGCATGGTTTTGTAATTTATTTGAACATATGACTATTTCCCAGAGTGAACTGTGAGTTTCATAGGGGTGTGAGTAAATTTGGGAGCAAGTCTTACGCAATTTGTATTCATATATTGTCACGTGGGTTGGTTCATAAAAGATACTAAGAATTGAAGAAAAGAAAGAAGGAAGAAAGGAAAACAGGAAGAAAAAGGGAAAGAAGAAAGAAAATGAAAGAAAAAAGCAAGAAAAGAAGAAAGGAAATGACAGAACAAATCCATGAATGAATTATAATGTGATTTCCAGATCCATTACCTCTTTGCCTATGGACATGCCTTCGTCAATGCTATTGTTAAAATGTGGGACTTGAAAGCTTGGTCTAAACATGGAATAGGACTATTCTCTTGACCTGAACATGGGATGGCTATTGATGTACCCTAAGATTGTGTCAGCTTTTTCAAGTCAGAGGCATTCTTATTGGGGAGCAGGGCAACTATGATCATTCTTGTCTTTTTTTCATATCTGCTGTTTAAGTCAGGATTCCCTAAACCTGCCTGTATGTGAAACTGGCAAGTTTCAACACTTTATATTTGTCCCATGAAATTACACCTTGTTATGTGCTGCCCAACATTGGATTTTGGCTTCATTGTCACTATCTTGCTGCCTCGCTCAGAGCTCAGTTTGCTGTCAGAACCAGTGCTGGTGCTGAGCTGTGGTTGAGAGCCAGCTGAGATCACTGTCTTAGGGGAGTACAATTATCAGCATAGTGTCTTGAGCAGGACAGACCTGGGTAGGGCTCCACAGTAGGGGCTGTTCAAGGGGCCAAGGAAAAGAAGGAATTCACAGAGAGTGAGGGGAGGGGGCTGAGATGAAAGGTTTTTGATGAAAGCAAATTTTGCCTTCTTCATAGATCTGTCTAGGGCTTTGTCCCACCATTATATGTTAGAAATGTGAACAATCAGTCATTTCCTTTTTACTACCTACCCCAATACATGTTGAGTTAATTAATCATTTTGCAGATAGTCCTCCTCAATTTTCTTTCAGCAGAGAAACATACAGGAATGCTTTTCTTATCTAGGTATGACATTATCAACATCATGATTCTAACACTGGCCTTTAATCCTTATTAAGATAATGCTGATAACAAGCATCTTGTTGTGCATAACAGTTTTTACTTTTAAAAGCACGTTCAGTAAATCCCTGTATCTTTGAACTAACCTAATGAAAGTCACAGAGGGGCTATGCCTCACTCTATAAGACAGGCATCTGGACAATGAAATGGGCTCCCAGGCCTCATAAAATCATGCTTACTTCAGAGAATGGTCAACAAAAAATCTTCAAGGAAATCCATGGAAGAAATTTTGATGTAAGGATATCTTTTGGGAGTTTCATTATCTTCTTAGAAATGTTATTCTGTAATCAGCATGTTTAACCCCTTATGAATTAATTTGAGAGGTGACAGCTTGCCTTTTTCAAGACCTGGGGCTTGCTTTCATCATTGTGTCTTGTTTGAATTTTTTCTTTATAAGAAATAAAGATAATATGATTGGACAGTTTATTCTGATACAGATAACTTTGTTTGCTTATAAAATATGCAATATTGCACATAAGCCAGAGATTTTAATATAAATTTTTAAGTGCATCTAATTCCCTGAAAATCTTTCAAGTGTTCTAAAATATAGCCCAGAAACTGGAATAAAATCCTTAAGGACTTCCCTGTTTTATGCCAGTAAAATATGCCATAAACATTGACATGTGTAGTGTTTGAAGAGGCCTGAAAGCTCTTCCTTCAATGCTTCCTACCTTATCAGGTTGTATGACATATTTTCTGTCATAGATTGGATTTACCAGATTTGTCTATTTTATTGGTTCTACCAAATAAACAACTCTTGGAATAATTTATCTGTTGAATTGCTTTAATTTGTTTAAATTTTTTAGTGCATTGTGTATTTGTTTCTTGTATTTTCCTTAGCTCTTCCAAAATCATCTTTTAATTAATTCTTAATTCATTTTTCTTTTTCACTTGATGAGAAACATTGACATCTGTGAATTTGATAGGATCAGATCCTGTGGACCCTGGTATTTCTGTCATTTTTGTTTAGTTTATATAGGTGGTGTTTTTATTATCTTGAACATCTTAATGGTATATAAAGGATACTGTTTACTTTTTGAGGTTAGAATTACTTACAAAGGCATTTTTCTATTGTCTAAGTGGTTGAGATTTTTCCTTTTATTTTGGTCTTATTCTATCTTTGTCTATTAATTTTAGATTTTGGTTTATTTTAATCGCAGTTCAAAGGTGTGTTAACTTCTTATGATTGGTGAAAGGAGTTAATAAAGGTCAAATAGGCAAATATCAGTGGCACTGTTTTTTGAAGAAATATGTGAATCAAGACATTTCCTCAACGTTTATTGGCCACCTAGTAAGTGCCAGGTACTTTGCTAGGCAGTGGGAAGTAGAGAGAAATAAGGTTCCTTCTCTGTCTTCAGGAGCCTACAGGAAGGGAATTGATTATACTAGTGAATTAGTAAATTAACACTGTCTTTAGACTTTCTGATTCATTACAAGGTTGCACAACACATCCAATTAGATTGCTAAACTGAAAGTCTGAGTTTTCTTCATGAATGTAATAATTGCACAATTAAGGGACTCCCTTGTTTTCTAATTGTTTTAAAATTACAGAACTATAAAATATATGTTTATGAAACAACTCACACACACTACACAAGATTTAATTAATCTGAATATCCCACTCAGTTCCTCTACCTGAAGCACACAAAGCCCAGAGGTGAAGCTTATGAAGTCTAACTGAGGTTCCTCACTGCACAGGCCCCTTACAAAGCCCTGGCACAGCATTCATGTGGTCATATGTTTTTGTCAAATTTGCATAGGTAAGATTTCTGAATTCTTTTTCTTTTTTTTTTGTTTTGAGACGGAGTCTCACTCTGTCACCAGGCTGGAGTGCAATGGTGCAATTTCAGCTTACTGCAACCTCCACCTCTTGGATTCAAGCAATTCTCCTGCCTCAGCCTCCTGAGTTGCTGGGACTGCAGGCACATGCCACCATGCCCAGCTAATTTTTGTATTTTTAGTAGAGATGGGGTTTCACCATGTTGGCCAGGATGATCGCAATCTCTTGATTTCATGATCTGCCCACCTCGGCCTCTCGAAGTGCTAGGATTATAGGTGTGAGCCACCACACCTGGCCTGAATTCTTTTTCTTAAAGAGATTCTCCCTGAGCTACCTCTGTGGCAATCACATTTACCCCTGCCATCTGTGTGGTCAGGTAGCAATTTATTTAAAGGTCAGTAAGTCATCTTTTGGGATTGCCGTTCTTTGGGAAATCAGCACGTATTTCTGAATAGTTAGTCACCAAGTATTTTGCTAACAACCTTATGTATGTATGCATTTATGTATGTACAAATGTATTCATGTATGCATGCTGTATATTTATGTATATACATAACTAGTTACCAAATAGTGATAACTTTATATCTTTACATATATACTTGATGTTTTGCTGCTGGCACCGAATTTTCAGTGCTTATAACTGCCCAAAAGTTTTTCAATTGTTCTAAATTATAGCCCAGAAACTGGAATAAAATCCTTAAGGAATTCCCTCATTTATGCCAGTAAAATATGCCATAAACATTGACATGTGTAGTGTTTGAAGAGGCCTGAAAGTTCTTCCTTCAGTGCTTCCTACCTTATCAGGTTGTATTACATATTTTCTGTTGGTAAATTAATAACTGGCACTGTATTTTGGGCGGCTGAAAAGGTGATATCAACAATAAACTCAACAGTGAAAGATGCAAATTTCTGGAGGACAGGAACTCACGCAGAGAGTTGTTCCTTCTTGTGTCTCCAGCACCTAGCAGAGTGCCTGGTATGCAGCAGGCACTTAAGAATACTTTTTAAATGAGTGAAAGAGAGTGATGGGGAATCTGCCAAGAATTATATGAGAAGTGCCAACATGGTTGAAGTTTTAGACAGTCCATTAAATATGAAACAAGAACATGACCCTGATTTTGATCAGTTAGAGAAAATCTTGTGACTCAAAGAAGGCTGATTCTTTACATAGAGACTTCTTTATTAATGACAAAACTATATGGCCCTCTACAGGGACACTTGGAGCCTTCCACTGCCATTGTGTGAGGACTGGCAGATTAAACAATTGAGATAAATATATTAATTATGTGAGAAGGCCAGCACCCAACTAAATACCTAAGTATAGCACTATTTCTGGGGTGGTCTATGATCACTATGATTGTTTGGTATCTGTAGGGCCTCATGAAAAAGAGGGGTGATTCTATTTCTGTCCAGAGGTAGTCACTCAGTATTCAGTATAAGAATCCAGTATTTCTACAATTCCCTTCTAATTAGGTCTCATGAAAAACATAATTTTTTTTTGAGATGGCATCTTGCTGTGTTGCCCAGGCTGGAGTACAGTGGTGTGATCTCAGCTTACTGCAACATCTACCTCCTGGGTTCAAGTGATACTCCTGCTTCAGCCTACCAAGTAGCTGGGACTATGGGTGAGCACCACCACATCCAGCTAATTTTTTGTATTTTTAGTAAGAACAGGGTTTCACCATGTTGGCCGGATTAGTCTCAAATTCCTGACCTCAAGTGATCTGCCTGCCTCGGCCTCCCAAAGTGTTAAGATTACAGGCATGAGCCACTGTGCCCAGTGAAAGAAGAAAATTTGGACAGATTTTTTTTTTAAACTTTCAAACAACTGACATGTAGCTTCTTTCTTTTTCCCTTGGAGCAAATTTGGTTAGCAATTTTGACTCCTTTTCACCCTCCCCTTCCTGTTCCTCCTTCCCACCCCACCACCAATGAAGTACATATGTGACTTGAACTCAAAATATCATCAATTGTATGAAAGTAATTAGCATTTCATTTCAATTTACCTCCTGCACATATGGTGGATGGTTCAGCAGCTAGAATTTCGATGCAGGACTTCTTCAAAATCTAGGAGGAGAGGAAATAAAAGAGTCAGTGCACAGCTTATTTTGTTCAAAGACAGAATTAGGGTTTTGCTTTTAGCTACTGAGACAGCGATAGGAAGGTTCAAGGACATTTGGTTGCAGTGGGGTTGGGAGGAGTCTAACATCTTGGCTAGTACCAATGCCAAACATTTAATAAGCCAGATTGTGCTAGATGCTGTTGGGTCCTAAAAGCCCTAAGAATTATTCATGCATTTGATCTTTTGGCAGGTATCTACTGAGCCTATGCCATGCCAGTCCTAGTTTTTCAGAGGTTTAACATAGGGTTGTGGAAATGGGACTTACACTGGAAATGATAAATGCCAATGGCCAGTCGTAGTGGTAGGTGCAAGGGTGAAAGAACAGACAGTAGGAGCTGCAGAGCTGATGGAGGAGATGCTGGGGCAGGTATGCAAGGAAAAGCTTCATGGAAGAGGTGGGAGCTAAGGGTAGAGCTCAAATGAAAGGGAGTGGGTTAGGGGAGGGTTACGGTCCAGGCAGGGAATGGTATAAACAAAGGTGACAAGGAAAAAGTACATAGATTTCTTGAACTGAAGCAAAGGCAGCTTGAAAAGCAGAATTAAAAGAGTGATACTAGATAGAGCTGAAAGATAGGATGGAGATGGTCAACTCTCCATGGGAGCTGCATAGACAGATGACTGAGAGTTCCTTTTCGGCTTGACAAGTCTGGAAAATGTGAGCTGTGAAGGGGGCAGCTTGTACCTCACCCTTCAGGAAGACCTCCTGAGACTTAGTTAAATGGAAATGTACTCTTATCCACAAATGAGTCTTGCAGGGTTGAGTGGAAAGTTGGGGGAGCCCTGTGACTTCACAGGAGTTAATAACGAAGATATTTGCTGGCTAGAGTAGGGTATCTCACTGGTAGTGCCTAAGCTTCTCTCCACCATTTATAAATCCTACCTCGAGAACATTGATTCTAGAATTTGAACCAAGTATTTTAAACAAGTATAAGACATTAATTTACCAACCGAATGTAGTATCTACTAAATTTGGAATTTGAGATGATTTAGAGGGCTGAAGGAAACTCTTTCTCTATTCATGAAAGGGGCATTTGTTAAAAACAACTGATGATATAGTTATAAATTTAGAGTCTGTTTAAAAGAAGAAAGCATCTTTTAGCATTGGGAAATGCCCATTTATTTGCATTGTTGTATTTGTTTACATATGCTTCTTTGTTCCAGCTTAAGTAATACATACATCACAAGACACAAATGAAAGAGAATAAATGACAATGTGGGGCTGACTAAAGAGAAAATAAGGGGAAGATGATGCAAGAAGTGAGAATAGCATAGAAAAAATACGCTGTGAGGAGCTTATTTCCTTGCTAGAGCAGACTTAGTTCCAAGCTTTCTAGTAGCAAACGAAAAGGACAGCCAGTATTTATGAGCTTTCTCAATCTGTGGAATGAAAACAAAAGTTTCTCAGAAGAGATAATATTTACCCATTCCAGAGAGAAATCTGGGCATCCTTATAGAGAAGCATTGCGAAAGAAAATGAACAAACAGGCTTAAGAAAATATTAAGATGCATTTATTGAAATAGGTAATCTCCCAACCATGTATTTTAGGTAACTCTATATACCTGAATGTCATCAAAAGCAACATTTCTTTCCTTAACAATTCTAGAATTCAGATTTTGCAACTACTTTTCCTTTATTCTGTCCAACTTCACAGCATTTTTGTACTTTGATACCCTATGTGTTTGCAGTGTCCTCCTGATTCCGCAGTTGGAAGTAATTTGTTCCTTCAGCTTCTGCCTCATGTCCTCAGCCTCTGGCTTACCTAGCCACCTCCACCCACCCTAGACACAGGTGTGGCCTCAATTCCTCCCAGGTTCCTATGTCTATCCTGACTGTAGTATGAAGGGAATGTTCTGGACTCCCATGCCCCTTGCTCATCTCCGTTAGAGTCAGCGGTCCTCACATACCTGGGTCTTGGCAGCTGGGGTCAAACACTGAGTTCCTGCTTTCCGCTTATTGTCAGTCTGATTTGGGATCAAGGACTTCAAGGATATATCCTGGGCACCTGTGTTTCCCTGCTGGCTTCCCCAGTGTCCTAGGGTTGATCTAGTCTTTTTGGTCTCTTGTGCATGTAGCACCGTCCTAGGATTGGGGTTTGCTAGGATCCTGGTGCACGGTGATTCAACCCAGACTGCCCTGCCTGAATTGTGAAGACTGTCCATTCCCCCATCCCTGAACTTGCTGCTATTTGGCTTTTCCTGTTTGATGGGGTATTCAGCCAGTGGTTGCCATGATTGAGAGAGGAAGCCACCCCCTTTCACTTGTACTCAGGCACAAGTCTCCAAACAGCCCACATTTGAGAAACAGAGCTAGCCCAGAAGGAGAAACTTAAGCAGTGATATTAGAACAACACGAAGCTGTTTTTTGATGTTTTAAATAAAATTCCTCAGGCATTTGACATCTCCTAATAAATCATTTTATCATTCAAAACAAAAGACTTCAAAACAGTCCAAGAATGAAAAGAGCTTTTGGACTAGTCCTGTCCCAATTCCCCAAACACACACGTGAAATTTTCACCCAGCCTGAGCTTCAACCAACCTTTTTAAACCAGTTCTTATCCTTAACCAGGGATTGGTAAAGGAACCATCCGTGGATCTTTGACCACAAAGACACACTAACAGGGGTTGTCATAATAAACGCATGCTGTATTATTCTCTCAAAGTGTCTGCAATTAGCTGATAAATCTAAGGGGTGTATGGAGGGCCAAAAAATGTCAGCCAAGCACTGTGATTCAATCCAGTAAAAACACAGCTTTCCCAATCTTAACTTAAAACATCTGGAGGGATGCAATACAGCCAATAGAGTGAAATTTATCAGTAAGGGGGATGGGCAGGATTTGTCTGGGACTGGGGCTCCTACTTATTTGAAATGTCTGGTTTCAAAAGGTAGGAAGTCAAAATTGCTGTTGATGGATTTGAAGGGTTTTCATGGTTCTTAGCATCCCAGACTGTATGGTAATCAGCCTGTCTGAACTGTAGCAGACAGCACATCAGCTCAGGGACTGGAGACTGTGTGGGGGTGGGGAGGCCGGGCAGTGGTAGCCATGGCGGAGGTGTAGATGCAGCACTGAAATCACTAGATGCAGTGGAAGGGACTCACACAGGGTAGGGCTGATGTTAGAGGTAAGAGGCTTTGAGGTGAGGGTATGATTGATCTGTAGAGGAGAAAGGGCTAAGATCACTGCATACCTCAAGTATAATCCCATGTGAAGAGTTGGGTCTTGGCCCTGGTCTGTATTTACTTGACTTATGCTCCTTGACAAATCCTTTAACTTTTCTGAATCCCAATTTTGGGAAGCAGTTTAGCATCCTGAGTAATAGCTTGAAATCTGGAATCAAATAGCTGAGGTCAACTCACTCATGAGCAGTGTGACCTTGGGCAGGTTCCATAACCTCTCTGTGTCTGTTTCTTCATCTATAAGAGTGGGATAACAATAGTATCTACCTGAAGTACTAGCATAAAGTTGTTGTGTTGGGAAGATTAAATGAGATCACACAGGCAAAGCCCATAGCACAGTGCCTAGAACCTGATAGTAATCAACTAATGGCATCTATTACTATCGAGAACTTAGGCTCTGGAAACCGAGAAGACAGATTTGGACTCTGAATGGATTTATACTCAAATCCAAACCCCATCACTTACTGGCCATGTGGACTTGGGCAAGTTATCAAACCTCCAGATCTCAGTTTCCTCTTCTGCAAAATGGGATAAGAAAAATACCAACTTCAAACGGCTGTATGATGGTTAAATGAAATAACAGACATGAACGCATAGATATTTTGTTTGTGAAATCAATTGGATTTAGGTAATAAACTTCATATTGGATTGGATAGTGAGGGAGAACATGAGATCAAGGAAAACTGACAAGGTTTTTGTTGTATAGACACAACTAGACAGATGTGGTTGATCCACAGATTGTTAACAACCCTTGGCCACCAGCCAGCATGAGCACCTCATGAAAATAAGGCACCAAGAAGAGTGGTCAAAATGACCTTGGCAGGAAAGCACTTAAGAAAATGTCTGGCATGTATTCAAACAGCAGTTGCTGTTAACTATTCCTCTGTCATTAATTACTATTGCTACTGCTGCTATTTTTGGGCAGGGACCATGGTTCACATGTGCTTAAGCCCCATCACCCACCACTGGCCTCCTGCTGAATCATATTTGCTGACAACAAAAACTGAACCAAGGTGAATGCTATTTTACTGCCAACTTTTGGACAGATTTCAAAGAGAACATTGATGGAAAAGGATGTTTGAAATCCATAAAGAACTAAATAATTGCAATGTGTTGTTACTTGTAAGGTTACTTTTGCACATCTCATTGGATTATTTGTTGGAGGACGGGTAACAGAGGCAGCAGATGTACAAGAACTTTGCCAAGTTACAAGAGTTGTTTGACATATTTAAAGTGAACTCCACTGTGGGCCAGTCTGGGTTGTATGTAAAAGTTTATTTTTTTCAGATTCTAAAAATCTAATGTCCTTTGTCATGAAGTTCTCAGTTTATACAGAGATTTCTCAAGAATCATTATAGAATTGTGGCTATCTGCACAGAGTTATAAGGAAGCCTTCCCTTATCATAGGCACAGCATTTATTTTTTTCTACTTGTTCTGCTTCTTGCTCCAATAAACAACCAATCTTCATTTACTTGGCCATTTCCTGTTGGAGGACTTTTTTGTGTGTTTATAGTGGACCAGCTTCTTTTATCTATTCATGGCATAGGAGCCTTTTGCTTTCACACATCTTTCAGAAAGTCTTTCAGAGCATGTTCCTTGGTGTCTTTTTTTTTTAAAATTGTACGTTAGGTTCTGGGGTACATGTGCAGATCATGCAGCATTGTTGCACAGGTACACGCATGGCAATGTGGTTTGCTGACTCCATACCCCCGACACCTACTTCTGGCATTTCTTCTCATGTTATCCCTCCCCCACCTCCCAATCTGCCT